AACTTATGAAAACTTCAATCTAAAACAGATCCTTCTTTCATTTTACTTACTAGCTTACTAGATGGTTAACCGAACCCTTACCCCTGAGTTTTCTTGAGCAAAATTCCAAAAAAAATATAAATCAATTTCTCTCTCTGCAATCCTCCAATGCCAACGCAGCGTAAAAGTGCCGTATTCGGATGCACGTCCTCTCATATAGTATAGAGCGTTCCAGAGGAGCATCGCTGCGGTGCACCTCAAATATTATTACCAGCATTCTTACCGATATTGCCGTGTACAGGACACTCCAGCCAGGAGGCGAGAGGAGGGTTTTCCTGCCACTTGCATGCCAACTGGACATGTATTAAGGCCAACTTCAACTTGTTATCCTCGGACAAGCCACATCGGAACGAGCGGTTTGGGGCATGCCGATTGAACCATCGGAGAATGGCATGCTGGGAATTTGTTCGCGGATCGAACTTTTTTCAAGGACTCCCTCAAAAACGGAAACAAAAAGAAAAGGTAGTGGAGCATATTTCATTGTAGTGCATGTTTTTATGAAGCGATAAGTTGGGCAAGTAGTTTCTATAGACTAAGAAATGTTTATCTGAAAGGTTGAAGCTCTGAAAAATACGATTTTTTAGCTAGGTAACAAACATTTCTAATATTTTTAAGATTTTTCTCTATTTAAGCAAAGTTAATTTTAGTTTGTTTCATATTTTACTTCAAAAACATCTTCAATGCTAGCTATCACTTTATTTTCTAAACCATTTTATATCTTTTTAGGGGTATTTTTGGGGTATCACCAAGTTAAATTCGTTCTTTAACTTCCCCTACACACAAAACTAGGCTACTTAGTCCGAAACAGAAAACCTGAGAACTTTAAAGACTTTAAAGAAAACGACGGCAAGGCAGAAACTTTAATGCAATTCCAGGTAAACGAGTCCAAATTGATTGCGGAAAGTTGAGCGGTTGCAGCGGCAGAATGACGACATTTTTACAGCCGCGGTGGGGTAAAAAACCAGAGTGAGTGCAGGAACATAATGAAATATTACGAATATGCATCGCAAAATGTGGAAATACAATTACGAGTGTGTGTGTGTACTGCTTGCCACACACACATACACACAGGGAAACATGAGCACTTTTATTTAATTTTGTTGCAACTGCAGTTGCTGTTGTTGTTGTTGTTGTTCTGTGGAGCGCTCTTGAAACTTTGTGCAATACACGCAGCCGAGCGCTTAATTTGCAACATTTCTTTGTCACAAGAACACAGAAGCAACAACGACGAATGCTGCAACAAGAGTGGCAACAAATGCCACGCCGTTTTAAGGCGGCAGCCGGGACAACTCGCACATTGTAAATAAGATGTAATAATTTAAAAAACACAGGAACCAAACAAAAAGAAGGACAAGAGCGGCTGGTTTTTATGTGCGAGGGCTGCTCGAGAGTCTTTTGGGGAAAAAAAAACTGAAAATAAGTTGCAAGGATTAGCTGAGAGCCGATGCTGCAAGTACCCTCGCAGATTTGTCAACAGCTTTATCAACGGATTTTTACGAGAAGATAAGATAAGTTGGCTTTGCTGATAAAATAAATTCATTCTTTGCAAGTTGGGAAGAAACTGAAAGGTGTGAAACTTAAAATGACAAATTATTACCTCTAAACACCCTTTAAAACCCCTTAAAATAAATAATAAAAACCATTTAGTGTTCTCCTAACATTTTCTAATATTTCTTCGTTTGTCTTTAACGCATCTGCTGATGATTTTCTGCATTATTCTTACTTTCCCAGTGCGCTCTGCGTGAGAGTATACAAAATAAAACCAGTTTAAGCCACGTTGGTGCCGTCATCAGTGGCACACTCACAAGTACCTATATACCCGTATATATATAGACTTACACACTCACACAGACACAATGCATGTTGCAATTGACAGCGGAATGGCAGGCAAAAGGCGCAGCTGCTTTTCTCCCCAAAAACACTCACACCCACACATATGTGCTGAAGAAAAGCGAGGCAACTGGGAAAAGGCAGAGCGCTCCTTAACCCCACAGAGCCCCGCCAGTTTGCCACCCAATCTAAGGACGAAAAAGGAGCAGCTGCTCCTCGTGGCCAAAAAACCGTTTCGTAATTAAGTGCTGCCGGCAAAGTGTGGTTCGGTATGTATGTGCGTGTGCACTTGGGCTATAGCTTGTGGGTAATGAGTGCCTCCCAGGAGAGGGCGTGGTCGAGCGCTCTCGCAGCCACCCACCTACACATAAGCAAAGATCCGTGCTTAGCCATTTGTTTGCTTATTTAAGTTTGAGTCTGCGATATTTTTTCAACTTTAAATTGGAAATTCCTTGAACAAATATACGAGTACAAATACGAGTACGAGCACATCCGTTCGCTTCATTATCAGCGCTCTTAATCATGGAACTTTGGCTTGTCCAACTCGAAACAAAACGAGTACTAGTGTCTGGACCTTCTCAAACTGAAAGCCCCAACAAATTGGAAATGGAACTTTGAATGGTTTAAGCCACGGGGCAGAATGGCCAGCAGGCTCAGAGCGCGGAGCTGCGGTGACATTTCGATATCCACAGACACAGGAATAGGACTTGGATATATCGCCAGGGAAAAGTTAGTCCCGAACAAATAGTGACAAACTTGGCAACGATAAGGCCAAAAACAATTGGAACAAGGCCAAGAGAAACAAGCTTACAAATCGATCTCACTTTTACGAGAACAGCAACTCAGTAGTTGGACATTTTTCGTGATGGCAAGTGTTTTAAAAAAGCCTCACTATTCATAATTTTCCCAAATATAGTTAATAATTTGCATTTTACCTTTGATAGCCATTTGATTTGAAATTTAATTACGAGCTAAACGGGGGTTAATTTTTTCTATTTGGACCATTTTTGGTATTTTTATGGCAAAAACATTAACAATAAAAATTTTACTGGCACTTTAAAATAATTAAAATATTAACAGAATATTTGAATTTTAACAGAAAGTTAACAGCATGTTAGGTTTAAAATGTTAACAGTTATGTTACTACGAATTTGACTGTTGACTGCCATGTTATGTTAATATATTGCTAACTGAAAATTTGTGCACTTTGGGATACTAATAATTCCCAACTGGCTTTAGCTCTTTACTAGGCGACTAGGGCTCAGGTCACCACCCAAAATTCAGTGAAGTTACTCTATAGTGAGAGTGTGTGTGAGAGTGAAGTGTTTAGTTGTGGTTGATTCCAAGATGCACGGATTCTATCCTGTACTTCAGGTAGAAATCCACCATGCACAGCATCCTCCTGGAGCCCAGGTACCACCAATATGATGGAGTCCCATCACCTTGGTACAACCTGATGATACTGTGCATCTTGGCTTTTACGGAAGTACATTTTCTGGAATGACGTGAATGCTGGGGCGAGATGATGGGACTCCATTAAATTAGTGGTACATGGGGTCCAGGAGGATGCAGTGCGTCGTGGATTTTTCCCAGCAGTATATTTTCTGGAATTCTGGTCACGTGGATGCGGGATGTAAATGACGATAGCTATAACCCCAAGAACGGACTACGGCAAGCGCCACATCAAGGTAGGTGGCCAGTTTATTATTTTTTCTTGCCTAAGCTGAGGGGTCCATATGCCCCACCGCCCGCAATGCTTGGAACGGCTTCTGTGCCGCCAATGCAAGTGGATGTTCTAAAAATAAGTTAAGTTTAGCTTGACTGACTTTGATATCTATGTCCGTCTGCCTAAGTGAGCCGGGTACAGTCTGCTTTTGGTTTTTCATTTTCGGACTACTGCCACTGGGAAATTATGTACCACCACGGAGATACATACGTCGCTTATCAAGCATAAGCAGTTCTGCTTACATTTCTGCGCTGGAAACCGAAAGCGTCATCGTTGACCATCGTTCTAATCTCTTAGTTATCGAGGAACTTAACTAGAAAACTTACTCACGAGTTAAATCTTTAATTTTACTGCAAGCTAAGTAACTAATAGCTTCCAGAATTTTATATTGAAACCAAAAATGAAAACTTGTTGACAAGAGCATTAGTAATATGTGTTCCTCATTATATCATTATATTTTCTTGCAATAAATGACAATAATTTTTAAGTTTAAATGCAGATCGAATTAAAATAAAAGCTTAACGAGTCAAAACAGTCTCTATTTTGACCACTATTGGCCTAGGTTATGGGCAATAAACTACCACTAATGGGGGGATATCACGACGAATCAAATGTCTGCAAAATAAATTGAGATTGAAAAAATAATGTCTTTTTTATCTTTAGCTACAAATACAGTATAGAGAGGCTTCAAAATTGTATTCAACTTCTTGGAACGATTTTAATCAGCTGAGCTGAGTTTCCGATTTTTGCTTATTTCTAATTCTGTGTTATCTGCATTTGAAATTCATAGGCTTGCTTTCATTAATATTTTTGGATGTAGCTTTCTTAGTAATAAATAGTGAGTATATTTTTCTCAACAAATTTGCAGACTCATTAACTTGATTTCCATTTTATCGCAATTGAATTTTTAAAACTTTCAGCTATTTTCGGCAGTCCGTCAAACAATGTTGAGCGAATAACTACACAAGTGAAGAGTTTTAAAGAGTTTTAAAAACTACTAAACTAGCATTAACAAGTAATTTTTAAAATTTCAAAAAATGATTGGAAAGTGCATTATAGAAATCTAATTTTATTAAAGAAGTCTGAAGTTTCATTGAATGTTAAAGAAATGGCTTCCAGTGGTGAAAGTGATGTGAATATAAACGCAGAGAATGCAGAAGCTGTGAAAAACATTAAATCTTCAGAGATTTTAGAACGAGAAGATAGCAAGGAACCTGTAGAATCTCAAAAAGTAAAATCTTCAGAGATTTTATCTGAAAATGATGCCGATCAAATACCAAAGAATAATCCCCAAGAGTTGCAACCAATTGAGTATGAGGAAGGTTCAAAAACTTTACCAACATTTCAAGTTAAATGCAAGGACCAGATGGAGAAAGTCATTTTGCCATTCGAAGAGACCATTTCCAACCAGTTTGGAATTCCTCCAAGTACTCAGATTTTACACGGCTGTGGTCAACAGGATGAGGCTACTTTGCGGCAAGCTGGATTGGAAGAATTGACAGAGCTCCTTACAGTTCGCAGCAGAGAGAAACCATCACCAAAAAGCGAAAGTTCTAGTTCAAGTTCTTCGCTTTCAGATATTTCTTTAGAATTTGAGTCAGATTCTGAATTTGGAGCCTCTAATTGTGAATTTTTACGCGAAGCTTCCATTCATCTACCCCAAAATGTGATAACCGATGGAAGCTTTTCATTTGCTGATGACTACAAGATGCGTTTTGGTGATCCCACACCTGATTTTTATATGGGGGATTTGAAAAGTGCCTTTCAGAATGTTTCCCAGCAACCAGAAGAGGAGGTTTGTTTTGCATTTTTGCATATTTATTTTTCTTAAATGATATTCTAAGTATCTAACTTCCTAATTAGAACAAACTACTGGCGATTTACTTACACCACGATGGCAGTATTCTTACAAACATTTTCTGCTTTCACGTTATGAAGACCAAGAAAGTCTTGAGTACCCTGAAGAATCACTTTATTGTCTATGGTGTGGATATAACCAAGGAAGATAAAGCAAATTGTTTCTTTGATGAAGTTAGAACTACTATCTCCGCTGAAGTATCTAATGCTGTCAAAGGTATAGTGCTGGACAAGCTTCCAGCTTTCATGCTTTTGAGTCGGGACTTTGGAGATCGTCGCGTGGGTATTTCTGTCATTCATGGAGATGTTAGTGGGGAAGAGTTGGATCAAAAACTTCTTGAACAGCACAAACTGCTAACGGAGTTGGCATAAGAAATGGAAAATAAATTTACATTTAATATAATAAATTAATAAAGTAAACTAAACTACTTTGTTTTTTACATTCCAAAGATTTATTGAGATTGTAAATAATATTTTCTACGTTTCCACTATAACTTAACCAAATTTTAAGGAAAGTAAGCCACGTTTCCTCCCATATTAATACCCATATGTACCTTGGCGAAAAGGACTTTATGTGTGGGTGTGGCATTTAGTGGAAAAGTAAGCACCGCCCGTCCAGGATCACACAAAAAAACATTTGAACAAACGAGGAAAAAGTGTGCAGAGCTTTTTTAGTTAGCGGCGAGCGTTTATTTTCAATTTGCTAGCGAATTATACCCACAACCCCTCCCCTCTCATATTTTTTTATACACATGGACCCACGCCCTTAGCCATTGTTTAAGCCGGCTACGCTATATTTTAAGGTTATTTTTCCAGACCCCAGTCCGATCCCTAGCCTTACCATTTGGCATTTTCCTAGCATTTTGCCAGCATTTTTGCCCGGCACTTCTTGCTGCTTTCTGGCTGCGCTGGTTCTTATTCCGTTGGCGGCGTTAAGCAGCTTAGCAAAGCGCTGCCAACCGACATAAATTAAAATGGCCAACGCTGCTTTTCCGTTTGTTTCCCTTTCTTCCGCTGCATCCGGTCACCCACACATTTGCACACACATACACACTCACATACACACACCTTTACTGCCACTCGTTTTGTTCATTTGCGTGGCAAACAAATCGCTCGAGCGGCAACAAATTGAGTTTCTTTATGATGTCCCATTTGCCGTGTGCAGGTGTGCGAATCACTTGCTGTATACGAACACCAGAGGGCAAAATAATAGTGCTAGGTTGTGTTGGGAAATCATAAATAAGGGTTAATATCATTTATCGTTTTGTCATTTAAATTATGTTATTTTTTAGGTATTTATTTTTGTTTTATAAAATTAAATAAAAATTTATTTCCAATCTAAGAAGATATCTAAAAGTGTAAACTAAATGTTTTAATATTTTTTAAGATTTATACTGATTATTTTAATAGTTTACTTTTAAACTAATTAATATTTTAGACATTCAAAGGTAAAAAGCAGTCCAAGCTGATTCATTAAATTTTCAAAATAAATATATTTAAGTTAGTTACAAAATTGTTTCAAAAAATTAAAAGAAAAATTATCTTTTTTATAGATTTTTAATTCTTGTTACTAATATCTCAACCGCCAGAGTATCTGCATATGTGTGGATTGGAATAAATGTCTGCTTGGGCGTTGGGTTTTCGGGACAGTTTTCGAGATGATTTTTCACTGCGCCCTTTTTGGCTTTTCTTGGCCTGACTTTTGGCCCAGCCATCTGTTTGGCCACCGGCGAATAATTTCTTATATCAATCACAATTAATTATGCAAGTCAGTGGAGCGTGTGTGTGTTTGGGTTGCCTTTAAATGAAATACGCCCTGACATTTCTCCTTATTAGATTATTCATGCTAAGGTGCGCCAAAGCTCGGAAAATGCGCGTCAACATCAGCGATAGGGCTTCCTCGCCTTCGGGAGTCAAAAGTGTAATTTCACGGTGGCAATATCTGATGCGGCTTCCACTGCATATTTACAAGTACTATTTTGTGTAGGCCACAAGGGTTTCCCAGCCACACTTGTGATGGTTGAGTGAAGCGCTGCTCGAGCAGCCAAGCAATTCTGACCAAGGTAAACGGGAAACGAATTCCCATTACAGCGGGTAAAAGTGTATTAATAAACGTAATGTATGAGGGATTAGACTGGTGGATACCTTTAAACTTGATAGCAGATTTATTTACTTTTCATAAGTTCTTTGATTGATTTTTACCACTTGAGCTTCAGTGTCAGCTTAAAGTTCTTTCATTGCACTAACCACACAGTGGTTCTTCCTTTAATACCCAAAAATAAATATAATATTTCAGGAAAGATATAAATAAAGCTGGCAAACTCTACACTTCACCTGCTGCACATTCTGCACCTGAGCAAACTACACCCCTGATACCCATCGGATGAGCTCTAAAAAGCTCGAAAAAATATAAGAAATCCGAGGGGGAGATGGAGAGGGAAGAGCCAGGGCGTAATGAAGTGAAAATTGTCCTTAAGCATCAATTTGCAGCGGCGACGAGAAGGAGGACAGGGATGTCGATGAGATGCTGAGATCCTTTCGCTACTTTCAGTGGTTGGCGGTGTACCCTGATAATTTGATGCTTGCCGATGCGCGATAAATATAATTTGTTGCACGTCATGTGTATTAACTTTTCGCAGACAGTGTCTGTCAGCTTGGGCGGAAGGACATTCAAGGCTTGCCTGCACTCGAGGACTTTCCCATTATGCAGCTATTTACAGAGACACACACACATAGAGTCGAAGGCGTGGCATGTGTGCTGACCCCGCCCACAGATTGTAATTAAAATTGCATAGCTAAATTGATTATGTATATATAATAATACAGGCATTTCTTTCGGTTATGATGATGGCAACGTTATGGCGAAAAAGGGTCGAGAGTATCTGTAGTTGGCAGTAAGTAATTTTCCAGCGGGTCGCCAAAGTTCGCCAAGTGGAAATTTTTAATTAAAAGCAAATGCCTTTGAGTTTGAGCAAATTTCTGTATCATGCCCGAAACGCTTGTGGTGCAAGATTGCGGCAGGGATTCCTATCTTTTTTGTTTATTTTATTTTGTACATTTTGTTCGGGAGAGGGGGCAACCTTCAATTAAGCAACTGACCGCCAAAAGTTCGGATTTTCACCTTCACTATTTTGTGGCGGAAAATACGAGTATAAAGCAGCGAGAGCAGCGGGATTATGGCTTTCAATCTGGGCAAGATTGTGAGCAACTGCGGCGGGTTAAGCAAAAACATAAGCATTTGTTTGTGCAACACAATGACACCCCTTGCATCCGGCATCCTGCAATCCTGGCACACATCATGCTCCTCTCCACGTGGCATGTATATTCGGAGTTTGTAGGAAAGAACAAAAAACGTTGCAGGGGTGCCTGGCAACTCTGCATGTTTCAATTTTGAATATGTTGCACGTTTTTTCCCACTGCCTTTTGCGGCAAAAAACCGGCAATGCACTCGTCAAAAAAAAGAAATAGAAATTGCGAGCATGCATCACTGCTGCTGCTGCTGCTGCTGCTGCGGCGAAGGGAGATGTGTCAGTTTTTGTAATAGACAGGTGAACACAAACACCGGACAGATGGGCGGTTGGAGGGGCAGTCGGATCAATCCGGAAACAACTAAAAAAGAGTTCATATTTCATTTCGGATTTTTTGTTTGGCCTTGCGAAATCAAAGGGTAAACAGAACGTCCTCCCATTTAATTATGGGCAACCAAAGGATATGACAATATACCAGTTATTGGCAAATTTTGGTTGTTAAAATGGTTTTTAGATGGTAAGAGTTAACTTTTATTGGAAATTTATGGCCGAAAGGTTTTTCTTTTCAAACTTACACGAAGCTTACAAAGTCTTTGGTTAATTTTGCAAAAATAAAAAGGCCTAAAACTATAAAAGGTTTGTTAAATTTGCTTTAAATGCAAACAAAAGCTAAACTATTGTTTCTTTTTAACTTAATAACAGCTTTAAGGTGCCTCGATTAATGTTTTCCTCCTGACAAAAGACTGAAATATTGAAGATTTGACAAACATTCTGTCGGAATGTTCGCCTTTGTTCTTCACCTTAAAAGAAAACCTGACATGCAGGAGTCGAGAATCAAAGGCATTCCCCAGAAAATGATGAATCGAAATTAGAATTAAATTTTATTGTTTTTCCGACAGCATTTCAATGGGAGTATCTGACTCCTTTCAATTGCAAAATGACAAAATGGCAAACCTTTTGTCTATAAGTCAGCATGTGACCAAACATAGGATGGAACATGAAGTGGCGGCTCTGCATTTCATAATTGAATTGCCAGCGGAAATTGGTATTTAATTAATAAAGCAAATGCAATCTTTGGTACCCCCAAGGTCTGGCGGAATAATACGAATAAATACCAGAGAAGGGTCCTGTCTGGCAGACAAATTACCATTTACCATTTGACAGAGACATAATCCTGCCAACAGGTTCGGTCCTATTTGGCTAAAATACCCAACTCACTAACGGCTTTCGGTTCGTTTGCTATAATCAAAGCGGCCAACAAATGAATGTGTCACCTGTGCAAAAAGCCAAAACCGCCCAGCAGGTATTTTCGGGCCCGGAGTGGTCAGATATACATATGTACCAGTTAGGTAATAAAGCCAAAGGTAAAAGCCGAAAGGCAAAGCCAACGGCGGCAGTGGTAAAAACATCATCATCCCAAAGCAAGTCTGCCAGCAAATTGAGGCGTACGAGCAATACAAATAAACAGACACGTTTATTCGCAAAACGAAATTAAAGTTTATGCCTGGAGTATTCATGAATTTGCTGTTTATGAACTAAAGGTGGTACACTGAGAAAAGGAAGGATAAAGGCCTAAAAGAGCTGTAAAAGTAGAGATTTCATGCAGAGGAAAGTCTTTAAAATAGTCATTCAAATATTTAATGAGTAAACTTTAATATTATTCATTATATTGCAGATTATGTTTAAGTAGTTTTTAATCTCTTTATTTATTTTGTGACATTTAAATATTTAATTTGAATTTATATAAATAATCATGAGCTTAGCTGGAGACCGTAATTGGTTATAATTTAATTTGTTATTTTAATGCGATTTAATACCAATTTCCACATAAATTTATGTCAATCTAATCCATATATTTTCTCCCAAAAAATTCAATTTAAATTCAGCAATTTCATTATTTTTCCAAGAAGACAGCAAGCCATCCCTAAAACCTTTTTCCCGGTGCACCTTCACTCCTATTAGTACCTGGAAATCTCATTAGAAACGGAGTAAATATACGTTAGCACCCGGTGTGCTGGCTTAACTTTGTTAATATGCCAGTATAGACGGCAGGTGAAAGGGAATTCGCAAAAGGGGATCAGCGCATAAATGCACACACACACACACACACAGAGAGACACACTCATGAACTGCTGCTCCTGGACAAGGACTCATTCATAGACCATAGACG